ACTCCCTTCTGAGCTCAGTAGAACCTTGATTCTCAGGGCACTTTCCTTTCCGTGCTGAGCCAAGAAAGACTCGATCGCCTCAGCCAGCCTTTGAAGACCGGCCGAGCCCGAGATGGCCTCGATGGCAGGGATCCAATTCCAGTAAGTGGCAGCTCGCAGCATCCGATCCCGGTGAAGGTCCAGCATGTAAAAGGGGGAGGTCATTTCGGCGTTCCACCCCGCATTGGCGAGGCGTCTCTTCGGTACACTGAGCAGCTCTGGGTCATATCGTAGAGACGTGAACAGGTGGAAGTCATTGGACATCGTGGCAAAGAACCGTCGTGGGGGTAATGTTGAATAGGTAATATTGTGGACCGATGAGTGGTAGGGAAGTTCCTATGGTGAACGATAGTCTAATAGCCAAAAGAGGACAGATAATGTTTCGGTTGTGGCAGCGATTCGGAGCTTATCCAAGGTTCGGGGATAGAGGAGCGGCAGGTTTATGAGCTCTCAATATGAAAACTAGAAGAGACAATGTGGGGGTTGCTTCAGGTTTGAGGATTCACTGAGCAAACAACCGGTTGATGACAATTTAAAGCCCTCCATGTGGGAAAAATGTTGCGCCATAAAGATCTGCCGCCATGATTACATAAGGAAGCCGCACTGCTCGATGTCTGTCACTCCCGATAGTCGTCTTGAACCACAATGCTATAAGCTTGTGGGACGACAGACCAGATGCGTCAGCTTCATGTTATGACAGGTTGTTTTCGTCTGGAAGTTGTGGAAGATCATGAAGACCACACTTGTTGGCAAGTGTAGGTTTGATGTGAGGAGGTGTTTGAGGAGGTACGTGAAAGCGGTGTCATTGTTTGGGATACCACCATCAAAAAACTGACGACACGGCATAAGGAAGGTAATGTCTGGAGGATTGTTATGTCGAGTCATATTTTTTACTTTATTGGAATTAAATCGGTGTGCCAATGGCCGTTCTACTTCATGTAACGGCCTGTAAAGTTGTTCGAAGGCTATGGGTGAGGCTTAGGAAATTAACGAGCAACTACAACGTCCGATATCCTGAGTTCTATGAGCAAGTAGTCGCGATGAGGTTGCCATCTCAGTTGTTGAGCCCCAATCTAGACAGGATTCAAAAGGGAATATACACCTGACATGGCCGAGAAAGCTATGCAGTTGCCGAGTTTATTAGCAAGATTGCTCCCTCATGTCGAAAATTTTATCCTTCTGCAGTTCAGCGATGTGGATTTGATAGAAATGTGATGTTACATGCAGTTGAGCCATGCAGTGATAAACAGGAAGCCATTTGTCCTACCTGCCTGTTTTTATTCTTCGTTTTCCATCATGAGTTCCCATCTCTACCTACCTCCTCTACTATAAATGATCCAATTGTTGTTTTATATGTCACAGTAGCGTTGAGGAGAGGCACGTCAACTGACGGTTGGCGTTTGTCTCTGTTTGACATTGATATGATGTATCTAATCGTGGCGACTGAAAGTGCTAAACAAGCACAAGAAGATAGCAAAGGCCAACATCTTGCAGGCAGGTGCCGTCTTGTTTTGTTTAGAGACCAATAAAACAACAACTCGACTCGTTCTGAGTGCAAGAATAGCATCTCAGGTACTTGCAAATGTTGAATTAGAGAGAATCGAAAGTCAGGGTAAGAGTTTGGTGCTAAGTAAGACCGAAAATTGGTTTACCATAGTAATATTAGCTAGGACTGCCATCAGTACACTGACAGGGTACACTACCACCACGCTGGGGCTGACCAATGCATCCTTGCTCTGAGGACGTCGTGGACCCTCTTGGTTACGTAGTGTGCAGATTTTAGGTGGCTATCCCTTGCAACCCCACTCTAAAATCGCCTGATGCAAGGTGATTTGATGAATGACAGCAAAGCTGCCCAGAGACAAACTGCCCGGAAAAACTCCTCACGAGCTTCCCCGTCGCGCAATAATTTTTCGTCTGCGGCTACTGCTCGGAAGCTCCTGGCCCAGCGCATCCGCAACAGCAACACCACCAACCCACTTGCAGCTCTTGCAACCCTCTACATCATCGACCAAGCTGGTCTGCCCGTTAATTCCCTTCCTTTCGATCCCGCGACTTTTCTTCCTGTAACCACCTTGATACCTTGCGTCTCTTTGACCAATTGCTTTGGCCAATTGCTAAAATGTCGAATCCTCTTCCATCCGTGCCTCCCATGGCCAGTCCTCCGACTGTCATTCCTGTTGACTCGTCTTCTGGCCTTTGGGATCGTATCACCACCTGGGCCGCGGACAACAAGGCCATTGTCTACACCGCCGCCGGTGTTGCCGTCGTCGCTACTGGCGCCGGCGTCATCTACTTCCTCAACAGCGACTCCGTACGTCATCCATCCCATCTCCTTTTCGCGATGCCTGTCGTCATGCGATCCATATTTTTTTTTTCTTTCAGCCGTTATCGCCGAGATCTTGGCGCGCCTTGCTGGCGCTAGATCGTTGCCCACAATGTTAAAGCTAACGATTACTGTGAATGCAGAAGAAGGACTCGACACCAAAGCTGAGCAAGAAGGAGAGGAGGAAAAGAAAGGAGGCCGAACGGAAGGCTGCCGAAACAGAGAAGCAGCCCACACCTGCAGAGGCTGCAGCCTCGACGCAACCCAAGGCCGCTGCCGTCGAGACCGCCGATGAACTTCCCGAGATCAACGAGACCACTGTTGCGAGCTTCACCACCGACCAGCGAGAGCAGTACGCCGCCAAGTTAAAGGACGTCGGCAACCAGGCCTACGGCAGCAAGGACTATAACAAGGCCATCGACCTTTACTCAAAGGCGATCCTCTGCAAGGCCAACCCCATCTTTTACTCTAACCGTGCCGCCTGCTACAATGCCTTGGGCAACTGGGACAAGGTTGTCGAAGACACGACCGCCGCCATCAACCTCGACCCCGAATACGTCAAGGCCCTGAACCGCCGAGCTAATGCCTACGAGCACCTCAAGATGTATGGCGAGGCCCTGCTCGACTTCACAGCCTCCTGTATTATCGACAGCTTCAAGAACGAGAGCAGCGCACAGTCTGTCGAACGTCTGCTTAAGAAGTTCGCCGAGCAAAAGGCCCAGGAGATGATGGCCGACCGTCCCAACAAGCTGCCCAGCCACACCTTTGTGGGCAACTACCTCCAGAGCTTCCGCGTCAAGCCTCGCCCGGCCGGTCTAGAGGACTCTGCTGTTCTGTCCGAGGACACCGGTAAGGGTCAGTTGCAGCTCGGCTTGAAAGCCTTGGAGAAGAAGACTGGCGATGGCTACGAGGAGGCGAGAGCCGCCTTCGAGAAGTCCTTGGAGCTGGGCGATCTCGGCGAGTTCGAGGCTCTGGCCTACAACCTCCGCGGCACTTTCAGCTGCCTGCTCGGAAAGCACGACGACGCTATGGCTGACCTGTCCAAGAGCATCGAGCTGGACCCTTCCATGACCCAGAGCTACATCAAGCGTGCCAGCATGAACCTCGAGCTCGGTGCCCCTGAGAAGGCTGCCGAGGACTTTGAGAAGGCCATGGAGCAGAACAGCGAGGATCCCGACATTTACTACCACCGCGCCCAGCTTCACTTCATCAAGGGCGAGTTCTCGGACGCTGCCAAGGACTACCAGAAGTCGATTGACTTGGATCGCGACTTCATCTTCTCTCACATCCAGCTTGGTGTCACTCAGTACAAGATGGGTTCTATCGCATCGTCCATGTCGACCTTCCGTCGCTGCATCAAGAACTTCAAGGAGGTTCCCGATGTCTACAACTACTACGGTGAGTTGCTCCTCGACCAGGGCAACTTCCAGGAGGCCATAGAGAAGTTCGACAGTGCCATCGACATGGAGTCCAAGACGAAGCCCATGGCCATGAACGTTCTTCCTCTTATCAACAAGGCCCTCACCCTCTTCCAGTGGAAACAGGACTTTGGCGAGGCCGAGAAACTGTGCCAGAAGGCGCTTATCAGTAAGTGAAATGTAGGCTCTCATTTTAATTCTACCGCTAATCTCCGAGCAGTCGACCCCGAATGCGACATTGCTGTTGCGACCATGGCTCAGCTCCTGTTGCAGCAGGGCAAAGTCACCGAAGCGCTCAAGTACTTTGAACGTGCCGCAGAGCTCGCCCGCACCGAGGGGGAGATCGTCAACGCCCTGTCCTACGCCGAGGCGACCCGCACGCAACTACAGGTACAGGAGAAGTACCCGAAGCTGGCGGCCAAGCTCCAGGGCATCGGCCCAGGTGGCATGCCCCGATAAATGACCTATCAAGGCAACAAGCAGCATGTAAAACTCACCTACAGGTGTCGTGTAAGAAGAGAGAATGACAGCTTCCAAGTACATGGGGGAGCAGGTAGCCTGGACAATTGGGTTCCTGGTTGGTAATAGGGGAAAATATCAGAGCGGGCAAGTCGCCCGTTCGCTGTGTCGTGTGTTTTTGTTGGTTGGGCGAAGGGGAGCTTTGGGATAGGAAGGAAAGTGAAGTCCAGGGCTACAAACGGCAGGGAGGCATGGGTCGAACCCTTTACGTTGTACATACACCGACTTCCCTCACTTTGCGTACATTGGTGAGAGCATTGTAGAACTAGTCCATCGTCATTGGTAACCATCTTCACACCCTCTATTTCTTTTATTTCTCTAAAGCGTATTCTGTGTCCAGCAAGTACCCATGTTTCTGAGCGTCTTGGGTATTTATGAATGGTCATGGGAGCATGACGTGGGATCAGGCGAGACTTCAGCTTCTCTTGCTCATCGATTTGGCTTACCACCGGCCTTCCTGCACAAAAACCCTATGTATGTGTGCTTCTGCGACTTCCTTCCTAATCCTGCACACAACAGGTGTCCCTTCCGAAGGCATACTTGTTTTAGCACCTGCCTTTCTGCACGTCTTTACATATGTTCTGATTCACAGGGATCGTGCTCGAAGACGACTTCACCGCTGATGAGAGGACTGCTCAACTCACCTCACATGAAGCCACCAATAAACAGACAACCGCCAGAGATTGGCAAAAAGAGAGTGGACGATCTGGGAATCGAACCCAGGACCTACCGCAGTCATGAACCATGCTAAGCGGTCATTATACCACTAAACCAATCGCCCAATCATCGTGATCTAGCCCGGACTTGAACCGGAGACCTTCAGTGTGCTTCAGCCGTGTCCGAGGTGAATCAGACGGACGGTTGTTAGACTGACGTGATAACCAACTACACCACCAGACCAGTACTTGTTGGAGGGTGCCGCCAGGGAGACGGTTATAAGAGGGGACAGAGCAGCTGGTCTCTAGAGCAGGGCTTGGGTGTGAGCGAGCCGGGTGCGGATAGAGATTCTTGCATGTGTGTGAGGGAGAGTGAGGAGTGGATGTTCTGATGTGCATGCGAGTGGCATCGTGAGTGCAAATTTTTGTTGGTGGGGGGGGGGGGGGGGGGG